GGATGTTGCACTTGTCGCCCTTCTTGTAGATAAGCGTTATAATACCCAATTTCATGTCTTCAGTTAGTTTTCCCCCTTCTCTGATCCGGTTGTAGCTGTCTCTTATACACATCTAGATGTGTATAAGAGACAGGTGCGGAATAGACATAATGAGGGTGGGTTGTGCTCAGAGAGAGAGAGAGAGAGAGAGAGAGAGAGAGAGAGAGAGAGAGAGAGAGAGAGAGAGAGAGAGAGAGAGAGAAGGCCCCCGCCCTAGCGCCCACGACCGCCTTTTTTTGTGAAAATATACACTGCCACTTTTTTTTCTTTTAATTTTTTTATGAACCGAATCCCCTACCCATAGTCCCCCATGCGCGCATGTGGATGGGCGGGTCGCGTTGTCAGGGCAGAAACCTTGACAAGGGTATCTGTCCGGTGTTTTTAAATGTCGGACGATGTCCGACTTAGTAAATGGTTTCTCGGGCTTCAAAACTTGATGAGATGGGTTATCTGCCATAAGTCCATTCGAATTTGACCTATGATTAAGAGACTAAAAGTTTGAACTTTAGTCTGAACACGTGGGGCGTCCAATAGGGATGGCAGTAAGCGGACGTGCCTCGCCTTTGGCGAAGCCGCAGGAAGGTGCGGGCGTGGGAACGGTAAAATTAAACCTATTCTACCAAAAATAGTGTCGCGCGGCTGCTAAGCTGCGCGATTCAGGGAGTAAGTGGGCTAAAAAAGGGGATGCGCCAGGTATACGTCCGCGGCGCAGGAGGAATAGGAAGTTTTCTCTGGGCCGCAAGGGTTGTCACCGAGCCAAGGGGTTGCCAGACCGATGCCGAGGTCAAGTGGCCTACCGACGGGGTACGGCCTGCCGGCAGGGCCTGCAGGGCCGCAAGCAAGCAGGCAGGGCCTGCAAGGCAACAACAGGGGGAATAGAGACTGGGCCAAGCTCTTCATATGGGAGAGCAGCTCCTATCATGACAGCTTCTACCATTGTCATGATAGGAGCTAGCCTAGTAGGGTATGGCACAAGACTTTTAAGCAGCAGATGTTGGGATCGAGCTCGATAGTGCACTGATCTGGGCTAGCTCCTTTTGAAGCAGCCCAGCCATGTGGCGCGGCCGTTTTCGGCCGTGCGATCTTCGAGATCGCACGGCTGAAATCAGCCGCGCCGAGATCAGCAAAGCCCCTGCGCAAGGTTGACACGCATCAATCGAGAAATGATCCAAAAGTTTCGAGTCCAGTGAGACTCGAACTCGGGCCTGTATTTCAAGAGTTCGTGAGTTGCCTCACGAATCTGACGTGATCGTTGGCTATGCCAACGACACAAAACGAAAAAAAAAAAAAAAAAAAATTAAAAAATTCTACAACTAAATAGAGGAAGAAGCGGCACTTGGCGCTGTAAGAAGTCTTAGTGAGGCTTGACACCCTCAGAAAACGTGACGTCCGTTTTAACGGGCGATCGTTTTGCTGCAAGGTGAGTTCTCGTTTTTTTTTGTGTTTTCTTTTATTTTCTTTAGAGAGTCTTTAAAATTTACTTCTCATTAAAAAAA